TGGCCATTGTTTTATATCCAATAAAATTAGCTTTTGAAAACTCTAGATTGAGAACAGCACACACACTTTGACCACTATTACCAGTTTTTACTTGCTGGCTTTCGAATGCAAGTTATGAAACAAACAGGCTTTCTGCTTGAATCAGAAATACCCTTCATAATGAATGTGGAGCGGTAAAACAGGTTCGTTTTTTGGACAAGATGCTGGCAACATGAATTTTATGTAGCAATTTGGAAGAAGAGGCGAGTGGGTGACAAAGAAACACAGCTACAGTGAAACATGTGGTAAAAGCGAGTTCTCTCTAAAGCGTGCTTTAAGAGCAAGCTGGAACGCTCCAGGGCACATCTGTGCGGTATGTCGTAACTGTCGTCGTATGGTTCGAAGAGACACAACACATTGATCGACATGATACATTTGCGGAAGTGTAATAATGGTAACCCAGGCTGCCACGCACCAGGCTTGCCGATGCAATCGTGCGCTAAAATTGCAACAGTCAGACTGATAACAGCTTGAATAGTTCCTACGTTACAGTTCAACACATGGACATATGTTAGCTGTGTTTTTTTGGCGTTTTCCTACATGCATGGTGTATTGCTGTTGTATCATGGAGGCGCATGAGTATCCAGGATGATTATTAACTTTGCATAAAGACCGGTCGTTTTCCCGATGAGCGGTCCCTTATAGAACAAAGGCTGAAGCGCACCAGGCTTGCCGGTGCGACCCATAAAGTTTTGCATTAATCTTGAAGTTAAAGGTCATTGCTTGCGTTTTCATTACCCTAAATCATCGTAAATTTCGCGTAAAGGAAGATGAACGGACTTTTGTTGAGCGGTCGTTCACTGAAAATGATCCGGCTGTTTTCAGTGACAGTGAGCAATTTTCCTGGCAAAGCTTTACGTGCCCGTACGTGAAAACGAGCGATACCTGGGGGTAATGAAATCTTTAAGGTGCATGTGGACAAAGAACATCCCCCTAAAATTTCAGCTTTTCAGCTTTCTTGGCTTCCGAATTGGCAATTTTCCTGCCAAAAAGTTGTGAACCTATGCATGAGAATCACGTACAGCTGGGGGCTGAATTTGAAATCTTTAAGGTGCAAGTGGAAGGGGTTCATCTCCTTAAAATCTCAGCTTTCTAGGCTCCTTCAGTAGGGGACATCCCTATTAAGGATGCTGATGTTCCGGTAAAGCTAAGAGCGAATAATTTTCGTTGTAGGATGTGATATGAGCAAAAATATGGTAGACTGGATGCGCGGTGATGAAGTTAACCTTTGCGGGAATGAAGTTAACCTTTGCTTCTTTAAGGCTGCAACGCATTACATTTTTATGTGTTTTGCTGTGCAGCGCTATAGCGCTGCTACAGCCAGCAAAAACGCATATTGTCGCGAGGACGTCTGCGTGTGTGTCTTTGTGTTCGGATAGTGAATGCATTTTGTGACCTACTTTCATCTCAGCAAGCAGGAAAGCTGGGAGGCTGGAACTTTGGATATATGTTCCTATCTCGTGTGTCATCCTTCCGTTTTAAGATCTTTCCTCATACGCGCCTAAGCCCTGCATACGGGACCTGCGAAGAAATATGCTGGCGGGAAACGATTTCGCAAACCAGGCAGGGTAGAAAGCTGAAACTTTGCAGGGATATTCTCTATGCATGCGCAAAAAAAAATTCAGCTGTCGAGCACCCCAACTACAGCCTCAAGCAGCTCCTGAAAAGTCATTACAAATCCATCGCAACTCGGACCTGAACTCAATCGTATGAGTAAATGCACTAGTTAATTTGCATACATGGTTTTTTTTTTTGTCAAACGATCGCTCGAGCAATATTCTTGCTTTTTAGTGAACTGGAAATTTGCATTTTTTCAAAAAATTTGCATTTGTCACTTTTTCACAAAGCG